ATTTTGGCTAGAAATGCCCTGAGAATCCCTTTGGTCAGAAAGGCTTTAAGAATCTGAGCAACATTTCTGGTCTGCAGTAATCTAATTTATAAACATCCTCAAGTTCTTTAGTATATAATTGAGGTCTTAAAGTATTACAGTAAAATTACTTTATTTGCAAACTGAGACTTTAAACTGAAATCAGATTTCTAGTATTCTATTTGAATTAGGGAGAATTTGAGAATGGAGTAGTGAATGGTCATCTATCCACTAGATATTTTATCAAAATCTAGTGAATGATTATCCATCCACTAGATATTTTATCAACATCTTCCTTTCATTTGTAGTTCAGACATACTAATCCGTATATATATATAGTATATATACGGAGTGACCCCAAAGTCCGTTAACATTTGAAATTTCAATTTGAAATTTCAATTCAATGTAGGTAGACAGGTAAAATTTGACACACATGCTTGGAATGACATAGGGGTTTTATTGAAGCTAAAAAAATGCAAAGGAAGGTCATCATATGGGGCTGGGCAGCAAAATGTCAGTGACGCCACCTGCGAATGGAGTATGAAATGAGCTGTAGTTAGAGAGTGAATCAGTCCTTTCATGACTTTGTCACTTTTCTATCCTCACATCCGGGTGTTGATCACGGTTTGATGTGGATTTAATCACATCAATCGTGATCGGATGCTTTTTCTTCGAGTAAATATGTTGTTCTACTATTCAAACTGTCAGTGTGACAGTTGCGAGGTACGCTGATACATTACAGAATGACATCATCCCTAGTCTGGCTGATAAACAAACACCTGTTGGAAAGTATGACTTTTATGCAGGATGACGCTTCACACCATATTGCATTACGTGTGAAAGATCTCTTGTACACATCGTTTGGGGAGGATCGCGTGCTGAACAGCCACTTTCGTCATGCTTGGCCTCTTGGCCTCTCAGGTCCTCAGATCTCAATCCGTGTGATTATTGGCTGTGGGGTTACTTGAAATCTCAAGTCTACCGCGATCATTCGATGTAATTAGGGATGCTAAATGATAACATTCGACGGCAATTCCTCACCATACCTACAGATATGCTGTTAACAACATTGCCCCTCGACTACAGATATTGTTCATGAATGACGGCGGACACGTTGAACATTTGTTATAACATAACTTTTTTTTTACTAAAAATCACGTTTTATGCTAATTACTGCTTTTATTATCATATTCAGCGCCATTATAAGCACTTTTGTTTTTCTTTCAATAAAACGCCATGAAATTTCAAGCATGTGTGCCAGTTTTTACTTCTCTACCAACATTATTCAGTGAATTACTGAATTTTCAAGTGTTAATGGACCTTTGGGTCTCTATTGCTTTTCTTAACGTAATGTAGCGTTATCAGAGATTCCAGTAATTTTTGTGCATTAGATAGTATTAGATTTTTATATCATGCATAATAGTACAGATTCAGTACAAATTGTAAGATACACAGTGCTAGAATTTCTCCTGTAAGTCATTTAATTCAGCTTCCATCCGAAAGATTAAAATCAAAAGTGGTAAAATACTTTCGTTAACATACAGATAAAATATATGAGGTGTTTGGCGATTTAGGTGAAAGCGTAAAAATAAGAAAATATTTTTTTCCTGGTTTAATTTTCATAATCATTACTAAGAACACGGATTATTAAAAATGAATATTAGTTTCCGTATATTGTCGACAAAATGTTGTTTGTTTAACCGATAAGCAAATATATTTCCGTGAGTTTCATATTAAAACAAAAGGACAAATTGAATAAACAATATTGCGACAACCTTTGAGCATTGCCTTGGGATTTCCGTAGCCATGGACGAATCAATACACTTCTAGTTTTAGTTTACTGTATTTCTGTTCCCTACTGTTGATTTATTACTCCTATCATTAATTCTTGTTTACTTTTCATACCAACAGAGGTATTGTAATTGCAGGCTTTGTATATCATGCATAAGAGTTTCCTTAACAAGGCTATTATCCGCAGTAGTTTTCAATATCAATTTTCAATACTTGCGTGTGAGTTTTAGCGTGGATTCTATGCAACAGTTATTTGATCCGACCATCTAACTGTTTCTCATATTGCAAATTTTGAATATTTTATAAAGATTTCACCAAAACTTAATACAGATTTTTTAATTCTAAAAGAATCGTACTATAATTTGAGTGCAAATACTTATTTAAGGAGTTTCTATATAAAAGTTCGACGAAATTCATGAAGACAGTTTGAAAGTTTCTTGTACACAGCATTTCCAGTGCATCGATTTAATACATGTATTATACTTTGAATCATTATATAAACTTTCACATTTAAAAAGCAATAGTTGTTGGCTTCAAATTTCTCAATTTTAAAAAAAGGTTGTCATCAGAAGTCCATTTCGAATATTTCAACGTAATATGCTAGTTCCACTAGTTCAGTACAAATTTTCGATTTGATTAAGTATTGCAATTTACAAATCAGACAGACCAAAATAAATTTCCTTTTTATCTAACAGTGTAGGATTAGTTTATAAAAATATTTCATATTGCATGAATAATGTATCGAAACACTGTCATTGAATTGCTTCGATTGTGATCAGTTGCAAGGACCATTTCAACAGTGTTGACTTACTCAAATTAAACCTATCCTAACTGGCCTTATAATATTAAAGCACATTGCGTTACTGAGACACAAAAGTAATAGTTCACATTTTATATCATGGAATGCTGATCGAGAGCATTTATGAAGCTACGAGATCGGCGATTTATATTTTGCTGCATCTTTCAAAATTGAGAAATTTTAGTTTCCCCTAAAAACAGTGATTTTTATATACATTTGAATATTTTATAAAACAGAGCACGTTTAATAATGTGCATTTCATTTTTGGGCACACCAGCAACATTTTTTCTATTACTTGCAGATGTTGCAGATGAATATGTAATAGTGCATAGCATTACTGACCTATCATAATCAAATGCGACATTTTTTATTCAAATACTAAACTTCATTTCGCATCAGATCTGATCTAAGACTGTACACTCATGCAAGAGCAATGTGTTTTATTTTGAGGCACAAATTTTCAAAATGCAAACGTTCAGCCGAATATGATTTCAAGAAGAGCTACGGAAGAGATTAATTCGAAACTAGTTCCCAATAAAAGAAAATATAAGAATATAAAGCAGATTACCTTGAACATAAGAGCTTAAATGAGGTGAAAAGGTGTATGTCAGAACACAATTTTAGTGCCAAGTTCAATTACTTTACTAAAACATTTCATATTATAAAAATGAATTTCCAAGATTAAAAAGTAACTAAAATTGAACAAACGGTCCAACTGCATATAAAGGATAGTTGAAATAAAATGATAGTCGACAGAAAAGCACACCATTTGTTTTGCAAATGGAGTGCCATATGCGAATAAGGAGAAAGTAAAAATGAAGTTGAACATTTCTGTCTCTCCTATTTATGGCTTCTAAGCGAGGTTTCTGAAAGCATAGACCAAAACATCTTAAACGTTTGATGAAAAAAACCTGGGCTGATGATGGAAGAGTCAGCAATGTTTACAAAACTACGCAATTTGAAAGTGTAGAGAAAACATCTTGTAAATAGTGAAGCAATTCAGCTTGCAGCCCCATTTCAAGAACCTGAATTCGAGATTTTAGAGCTTCTTCAGGTAATATAGAAGTTATCAGAACATATTTTCCATGGAAATTAGTAATATTTGTGCAAGCAATATTGTACAAAATGGTTAAAATTATCTGCATTCGTTCAGCTGTGTTAATTTCTTACTGGATTTTCTTTGCGGTACATCTAGAGTACATCTAGTTCAATGTGGTCAATAAACACTACGTTAAAATACTTTATTTTCCTGAGGCAAATTTTAGGTTTGCTACATATACATGGCCTATAATTGCAAAATTAGCATGTTTGCTTTTATCTAGACTGACTGAAAATAAAAACTGATAATTACTTATTTTCAGTAATAATTAAAGCGTAACGGTGATTAAGCAAGTCTTTTGAAGTGTAACCGATTGATTACATAGACCAAAATATATTTTGAAATTGAGACGGGAATGTTATAAATTCCATTATCCAGAATTAGCTAACCATTAACTTGAATTACGAAAATAATAAACATATACATTACACGTCGCACATTTCCATAGACAGATCAGTACTTGAATGTATAATAATCTGATTGAATACTAATAGTCTTACTCATATTTTATTCTGAGTGGTATTGAGGCCTGCGCACTCTGCACAGGTTTGTTTTTACCTTTCCCGTAACTGAAAGATAGTAATGAAAGTTCCAAAGTTTTTTTAATGACTTTTTTTTCAGTTTGGGTTATCTTTAGCTCAAAACATTAATATATTATTTAAAGGTTTGTTTTACTGGGAAGAGATTTTGAAAATCTCTTTGTTTAAAATATCAATCTATCCATCATAGAATATAATCTATAAGAAAACCTTAATGTTCGAATTTGGAAGAGTTATTTTTATGCCAACTCTAAAAATCTTAAAATTTGCAATTTGTATCGAGATAATAGCTCGTCTTCTGCTCTTGCTGTTATCTAATGGATCTAATTATGAAGGATATGAATTGTAAGTAGGAACTGCCCCTTAAGATGGCTCAGAGTCTTTGAAAATTAGAAATTAGCTGAAGGGTTGAATTAAAGTCTGACGTGTAGAAGCCAAGCGACGTACACGGAATTTCGCCGGACTCCCTGATATATAGATTTGATTATTAGTATACCCAGTTGGTTGGTTATTGAGACCGTCCACAATTCAAGACACTGTTGCAGTGCCATCAGTACCTCTGGAGAAAGAACTCTGCCTAAAATGATTTTAAAAATACGGTTTTGCATCTGAATATTGACAACAAAACTTATTTCATATCTTGAATGCATTTTATTTATGTATAAAATTCATGCTTACATCATTTATCCACTTCTGTGTATTTAAATTCCAAACTTAATGGTATATTAATGAAGTCGTTAAATCATTGTTTCAGTTTCTTTCATGAGTGGAGGTTTTATAGATGAAATTTCGTATTTACCGCAAAAAGGTTCCCCGGAAACCGATGTCTTTCGTGAGTACAGTCATACAACATTGTAGTAGCCTATTTACATGAAAATGGGAATACACTAGGAAGGTAAGTATACATTTTATATTAGGTAAAAAAATTATAAAATGGACAATAATGGGATATACAAAAGTAGAGCAAATTAATTGCAAGAAACTTTCCTAGGCTTTGCTTTATTAAATACCAAGTATAGTTCCTCATAGCAAACATTATGCAATTATTAAGATGTCATTCAGCTTTCGTTAATCAGATCAATTACCAGAGTAAATGTATAAAATCTTAATATTTTATTACATTTACCCTGGTATACTCTAGTATACGATGTATTTGAGGATATATTTGTAATTCATAATTTAATCTTTGCACTTTTTTTACAAAACAGGAAATTACGTTGTTGTTGCTTTTCTTCTGTATTCTAACCAAATCAGACAAGATTCAAAAGACTGTTGACTCTAAAAAAGTCGAGCAGAGTTAGCGGATTGGTATAAATATCCTCCCTAAAGAGGTTCAAGCAGATTAAAATGTGCTCGGCAGGAGTCACACACATAGAATTATTAATTGCCGAAATAAATTACCTTTTTTCGAGTTCCTTCTGAAGTCTGAGCGAATAACTTTCAGAGCTTTCCTCTAATGAGTATCAAAAATTGTACACTAGTTCTCACACATCTCTTTAATTCTCAGCTTTGAAAAATTTTTGTAGCGTTTTTACCTTAATTTTCGATATTTTTAAAGCAATTAGATATGTTTACATAGAATAAAAGTTTAAGAAAATAAATCTTGTAGCCACTTTCTTTGAATATTTTGTGTACATGCTTGTTTACACTGAATTGTAAAATGTCTCATTCGTTCACATCATGTCTACGTTAAATTAAACTGAAAACTCCGAGTGAAGACAAAAGGAATTTGCTAGAAACGGAAGAAAAACGATTTCGAAACAGTTCAGAAATTTTAGAAAAAAAGAATTTAGAAAAAATAAATTTAGAGAAGAAAAGAAAAAGCTTCATTTTTTAGTTAGGTGAGTATTATATCTGTTAAAAATAATTAAATTTTTAATGCAACCATATACAAGATTGTTATCAAATATTATTCATATAAATAGATTCTGCTTTATATTTTTCTTGATCTGCCCATAAAATTTATTATTTTCGTACAGAAGTCAAGAGCTTCTTACAGGTATCTCTCAGCTTCCATACATTCATCATTTGAATTTTTTCTAAAATGTTACATTTAAAAAGGATTGTATACTAAAATTGTTCATGTGTAATGTTATGAGATTTTATAATTGTTCTCTATATAAAAACTCAAGAAAATTATCAAATTTACAAATTCACTGATGTAACTTAATCTATTCATTCTTACACTGAAATATCAAGAATACTGGCATACCAACATAACACTTAGTAGGTCTGTAGAGACATTAGGATTTTTTGCAAGCTGGAGAGATGAAAAATTAGCAACCGCCTTCGCCGGGGAATCGAACCACGGACCTCTGGAATACCGGCCCAGCGTGCAGAACCACTACACCACGAAGGCACGCTAGGGAAGTGGGAGAAAATACCTTATATACTCCCCTTTTTTAAAGGGCGGTTGAGGTTTTCGGGGGACCAAATCGCCAAATCCTGGGTGTGGAGAAACCTCATCCAACATTCTTTTAGTTCGGGCGCCACTGTAGAGATATTAGGATTTTTTGGAAGCTGGAGAGATGAAAAATTAGTAACCGCTTTCGCCGGAAATCGAACCACGGACCTCTGGCACAGCGTGCAGAACCACTACAAACCGACGGCATGCTAGGAAAGTGGGAGAAATACCTTATAGATCTTCATTGGGAAAATACAGCTGAGGAGAAAATAATGTCCTCAAGTATGCGGCAGTGTTTTGTATGCAATTAAGACACTGTGCGGCCTGCAGATTCGACGGTGTAAAAAATACAGCGCTTTACAGGTCGTAGCAGATGCGTTTGACTACGCTAATATTTGGCAACTTAAATGGTCATGGCAAGATAGTGAACTTCAAGCTCCTTTAACCATAACTTGGCATCTCATCTCTAAACTTGTATGAAAACATGTTATCACGTCAGAAGATGTCTAATTTAGAATTTATGTTATGAGTAGGCGTAATGCTTCAGAAAGGATAAACACGTAGAATTTTCAGCTGTGGAATATACCTGTTGATGCAACAAGAAATCTTTATTACTAGCTAAACATGCTCCTTATCATTATGAGCCACACGGCATGTATCGCCTTGTGTTAACATTTAGATCAATGGATTCGTTGGATCTTTTCACCCACTTATTCTATCTGCCCCAACAGAGTTAAAAACACGACCAACCAGGCTATGCATTTTCAATCAACAAGAGTCAAGAATCGAAGTGCCAAGCCCAGAAGCGGTTGTATAGTTACATGCCTTGCATTTATTATGGCGATCTGGGATCTGTGTCGATATAAATACTGCATACTAAAATGATACGCACAATGAAATGAATGTTCCCCACTGGTTATGTCAATATTTGTCGAGACCCCCAATATTGCATTCTAATGTTATATCAAGCTATATTTAGCCCTCATCATTAAGAGAAATATTTTTTTTGCCAAAAATGATGCTGGTCATGTTAATCCAGAGATTTTTGCGGTCGCACTGTTGACGTAAGTTAAAATTTTTTTAAGCATTCTCGCCGTTTTGGTATACTGCTGAAAAGTTCATGAAAGAAATTGGAAACTTCGCCCTACCTCTAAAATGCGATTACCCTTTTCACAGTCGTCAATTATTTAACCAATTTAAAATAATTTTATTTATAAAAACTTATTATTCGCAATGTGTAAAGCACGTCTAGATGCTTCCACAGATGTCTGTTACTTCATACGCTTCGCTGGTCAAAGTAAGCAATGAGATGTGGGTAGATAGGGTTTACTAAGTATTTTTCTTTGATTTATCTGTAACAGTTCTTATTTCATTCATTTCAGTGAGTACTGATGAGATTTTAAAAAGAAAGCTGAATATATGAATAGAAAACATTATTTTTCTTCTTTTTTAATAATGTAAATGTGCGCTTATAATCTGAGAAGAAAGTGTCTGTTATACATTTATTTCTTCTTTTAATAGTTTTCCTTCTTTTTTAGGGATACCGGCTCATTTATCATCTAACTGCTAACAAGTTGCATACACAAATTTGTGAGCTGTGTAATAAATAGTGCCTTATTTTGAGACAAGATCTTTAGTAAATTTGATCTAAAATAAAATATACAGCATCCACTGTCTTTGTCTTGTTTTATTTATTAAAAACGTTAGCAACAACGTCACATTAGAAAGTTTCGTTTACTTTGCATTAATTATTCTTACAGTTATTTCTTACGCACTCTCTCTAAAATAAACCAGTAATTAAGCACCAAAAAGTAAGCTGTCTTTAATGTAAATAGTCCAACTCCAAATTCCGCTGTATGTCGAAATTAGCATGAGTAATTCATGTTGTGTTCCGGCTGTCAGAACTTCGTGTGCCATAAAAGAGGGCTTCAAGTAGAATGAGTATCCAAGATTGGATCCAGGAAGACAAAAAGTTTTGATTGGCGCAGTTGGACTATAGCTCGACCCGGGGGGGAGTTTCATTAGCGCAGTTGGAGTACACCCCAAAAATTGGAGAACAAGTCACTAATGTAGAGGCTGAGAAACACGTGATGAATGTGGATGGTATGCAAATAGGTTTGCAAAACACATATTTTATATCAATTCAATTTTTCTATATTTTATTTCAAATTATAACGCTTATAAATGTTTCTAAAAATTTAGAATTAAATTAAAAAGTGGCATTAAAACGTTTTTTTCTAAATACTTGATTCGTTTGGCTACAGTTTACAACACTTACTCCTTATAGCGTGATAAAATTAAATTTCAATTAGCCATGTAAAATACAGTTCATAATTACTCATTATTCCTTGACGCAAACTCATTATTCCTTGACGCATAAGTAATTGACTTGGAAATTCATGCTGTTTTTATGCAAATCAAGGAAATGAAAATTCGAATTGTAACTATATACAAGGTAAGAGAAAAAGCGAGGAAGTACAATGTCCTGCCCTTCATTTTAACATAATGTGTTTGATTGGCATTGGCAGACATATAGAGATGTCATCTTTTTAAAGTTTTGCCATTTAATATGAGGTCCAAATCTTGTGGATTGCATAAGTGAAATATTGCATAACATCGTCATTCTATGGAAGCTATGAATACGAAGATCAAGGAAGGAAGTATATTCTGTCATTTCAAAATTAAGAGTACTTTCTGATGACGGATCTTCGTTGGTTGACTGCAGGATATGTTTGATCCATGAAATATTTGATATCATTGATCCAGGTACGCCAAAATCAGACCGCAGTGCTAGCAGTCTTTCAATGTTCAGAAGCACCATTAATGCATATAAACACATAAAACTTTGATAAAGTTAATGTAATAATAGACACTCATAACTGTAATGCATATATCCCACCCTACCTCTGCACCGCTCAGAATTTATCCTTAATCTTAAAAAATATTATAGGTTCTTACCTCAAAATCTTCTTATTCATATCTTGATATCTTCAGTTAAAAACGGTAATTTAAATGAAATGTTTTACTTCTAGATATGGCCTAAGTAGTACTAAGTAAACCTTTAGTGCTTCGGTGTGCTTGTTTTTCACGCAAATCAAAGAGAATTTGTCGACTGTAGCTTTTTGTTAGATGAGAGAGCAGAGAATTTCTTGAGGATTTTCCTCACTTCTGTTTGTCATCTTATGCAGAATGGGAGATCGTCTTTGTAATCTGTTATAAAGCATTTGAATAATTTAGCGAATTATTTTCAGTGTTACATAAGGCATTAGACTTAAAATTTTGCAGTGCGTAGAGCTTTCTATATTATTAATTTTCATATGATATAAATTAAAAATTTAGTTTTCCGTATTTTTCACTTCATTATTCATTATCTCTTTCTTCAAGTATAGTTTGCTTATCGAAATAGTGTGATGATTTTGCTTGACTGGAGATTCAGTGCCGGAATCACGTTCAGGAATGCAAGGAATTTTCGTGGAATTTCTTCATCAAGTACTGTTACGTTGTGTTATTCCTTCACGTTAGTACGCGGTTCTTAGATTTGGAGTGAATAACGACGACACTTGACGAAGTATCGAAACACACTTTATTTAGCCAATATGAATCAGGACAGCTCCAAAGTCACGTTTTACAGTCGTCGAAAATTTACTATACACTCGCTGGAACAATCAGCGACACAGCCTTCTGGTTATCAGGCTATAACGGTGGAGACAGCTTCACTGCAAAGCACCAGAGTACAGCTCCCGACTCTGCTTGGTCGTTCTCGAAACTCCACGTACTCTCGATACTCTCCACGCTGCAACTCGCGATGTACTCGACGACACACAGAGCACAGCTGCCGACTCCTCCGTTCGGTCTTTCCCGGAGCTCAACACTCTCTCTCGACGATGCACTAACCACGATACACTACGAGACTCTTTCGGTGCACTCGAGGACACACTCGGCACTCCCTGCACGGCTGTTAACTTTATCAACTCCGCACGGACTGATAAACTCGAGATACTAACTATCTCGCACTTACTCTCCTCGTAGCAGCAGGGTTTATAAAGTTTTTGGCTTGTGTTCGAGAAAATTCTGGGCTAAACCGGTAAAATTTCCTTCCAGAAGGTTCACCATCCGTCCATGGAATATTGTCAATTTTGTCGCAAAATGGGCGATTTCTCGCCTAATGTGACAACCCTGCCTTCCTTTGCCATTTTATGGTAACCCTAAACCTGCTTTTCGGGGAAGCTATCTTACCGTGCCTGGACATTTCGTAACAGTACATTATATTTCGAGAAATCTGCATTTTTTATGTAGATATAGCCAAACGACTTATATGTATTAATTACATTATCATTCTTTTTTAAAGATTTAATACTTTAGAGAGTCATTATGTTATATCTATGCAGGAAAGTGAAAAATGTGCAATGCCGTCACCGGGATTGAAACTTCGGACTTCCTGAATATGCGACCGGTGTGCTTCGAATTACATCACGAAGGCATGCGGAAAGGAGGGAGAAAATACCTTACATACTCCCTTTTAAAGGGCAACTGGGGATTAGGATAAGCTATTATGGTGGTGACTATTTATTGTCCATCTCATTTTCAGTTTGGGCGCCACTTGGAGAATCATTAAGTTATATCGATGCAGGAACGTAAGAAATGAACAAACCTTTACCGGGATTCGAACAACGGACCTCTCGAATATGGGTAGAGTATATTTCCAGTTACACCACGAAATATCAAAATACCTATGTTAGAACAATGCTATATATAAATCTAATTTACATCCTAAGTCACGCTTTCGAGAGATGAAAAAAAGCAAGTTAAGTTTAGTCAGCCTGCCCAATAGAATGGGAAGTATAGAACTGTCTGTTTTTTGTACAAGGTGTACATATTTTGTAAGGCAGTTATATTCTGTCACATTTCTGAAGGCCGCCACTACAAGACTTAGGAGCAACGGTGACTCGAAGTTCAAATTTCTGATTTATAACGATATTTCATTCAAAAATGAGAACAAAATACCTTTTGGATGTATTTCAGAAGATAATCTCAGAACTTAAATAGCTTATTGATTTAAAAATTGGAATTTAATAATCAGTATCAGCAATTTAATTTTAAGTTGAAATATTATAAAGGCTTTTAAAGAGAAAAATTCTTTTTTCATATTTGTTAAAGAATTGCCATAGATAAAGCTAATCTTGAAATAGAGCGTATTTATCAAAATTTAATCAATGACGTCAATTTGAAATTATTCCTTACACAACATTTCGTTCTGATAATTAATCTTCTAGCTGTAGAAACAATCAATATAATAAATTAGGAGTTTTCTTAGAAAACTGAAATTTTTATTGTGTTCTTGAATCGAATAATTCATGGCAGCAAACATACGTGGATGTGATATTCGGAACTTAATAATGAAGTTGAGAGGCGCTTGTAACAAGCGATAAACTATGAATTAAGGATAAAAATAGCAGTATTCAAAAGCGATCTGGAAAAGCTATTATACACACTACCCGATTTAAGTCTAGTGTGAAAGATATATGAGACATTTATTGTGATTAATGAATTCATTTGAAACAAAGAAATATTTTTGAGCACTTTTATTGCTTAAGAGCGAAGAAAATGCGAGTTTATCATACATTGTTTATCTCCAGTGATAGGAAAAAAAAAATTGTATTGAAGAAAGTTAACTGAAGGTAGACCATTAACCCAGTTCATGCTTATGTAGATGTATAATCTATCGATTTTTTTCACAGTCCATTTCTATTCAAGAAGAATAATCTTAGATTTCATTCATTACGCTTTCAAAATATTCAAACGTCATTACTTTTCAAGAAAATGGCATTTTTATGGCAAAATGATCACCACGATAACGCCGTGATTCCTAATGATAGCGTAGATCAAAAATCTGATGGCACATTTCTAAAAGATTTATTTTGGCTATGGTATGAACTGGATAACTTTTTAGATACCAAGAAAAAATTGATGAAGTTTGAAATTTGAAAAAAAAAAATTATTCTTTATCTTTCATTGAATTATAACAAAATGAAGCAATAAAATACCGCATTATTGGCAGCGTTACCGTTTGGTTTCCGCATTTTTATGTCATGTTAGGAAATAATGTTTGATTATTTTAGTATAAATCTTGTGAGGTTTAGTTTGAATCGTGTAAATATTTATTTAGTTAGTATTGAATCTTAGAAGATTCACGAAAGTGAAGTACATTTTTGAAATCATATTGTAGTTCTACTCTAAAATTCTAGTTTTTTTTTAAATTTTACTCAAATATGATAGCTTAGCTTAGCTTACGCTTAGTGCCACACTGTAAACTATTCCGCGCAAAAAACAATGACAAAGCATAACAAGCTTAAAAAATATAACTAAAATTTCATTTGTTCCTCCGTATGAGTATACAATTTAAACGAGTTATTACTGCAGTCCTAAAAACTCCGCTAGCTTATAGTATTGTAATAAAGAACTCTTAAGTATTGTAATAAAGAACTCTGTAATCGTTAAAAATTATATTTTAATGTTCCAAAATCAAAACAGTATCTAGATTTTTCTGACTACTGCTAGCATTATGTTTTTCGAAATCAGAGAGACATCTCTTGTTCCAAGAGACATCTCTATTGTTCCATTCAAATTCAAAATCTCAATAATATTTCTGACATTGCGATAATTGAAAGGCAC